CCAAAAATTCCCCAAATCCTGGACTCTGGACCAGGCCAGGTCCTGTACAGGCCGGTACTACTTATCTAAAAATGCCCAAACTGAGTCAGTTGTCGGGGCATTACATGGACTCACCTATTTTGTTGTCGTCCTCTGAAGGTGCTCTCTCTTTTGCTCTCTCGTCTGCTGATCTCAGGTCTGTGTAGACAAATAAGATTTGAGATTTTATTTGAATTTGAGGGCCTTTACTGGCTCAACAGTAACACCAAATGACTTAGAAATGACACTTTCAGTTGATTCAACATTAATGTTTTTTCCCGTGTTCGTGGTGTCTGTCCCTGATGTTGAATACTGAGCAGGAAGTTGTCCATGTTCTTCTTCTGCTGGGAATATTTCTGCTTTTTTTAAAAAAAAATTGAATGTGGCATTAAAGCACAATAGAACTTGTTCAAGTAAAGATCTGTTTTAGTGTCATGTTTCAGTTTTCTGCTCATTGCCAGCACATTAGCAGACTCTTGGAAACCCCTCTGGTTTCCCTGCATTACTGTTTCTTCCTTTTTTCAGTTGCCAGCTTGTGGTCGCTGGAGCCGCACTCTGTTAGGATCTGTTCCTGCTTTTTGTCTCTGACGTGAGAAAGGTAACCCGACAATCCATAATTTGAAGAAACATTCTCATTTAGTTTGGCTTTTATCGTCTTTCCAAAATAGTTTTAGTTGTTAGAATTTCGTTTGGAAAGTAGCCCTACTGTGAGAAAGGCCAAGCGTCTGAGCGAGGACACCTTCCTACCTCGTTATATGTTTGACACAGACAGAAAAACACAATGACTATATCTAAAGGATGGTCATGACCTCGGTGATGCCACTCATTGGTTTGTGTCCATCATTTTGATTGGTCGAAAGGGTAATTTTGGTTGTCAGCACCACATAAGAAGTGTGGCTTGGAGCTGACCGAGGACATTACTCACTCATTGACTCGTATCTTGTGATTGACAGGTTATTAACCAATAAGTATATCCTGGAGAACCCTCCTTTGTGACTGATGATGATCATAACTTACAAAATGAACTAAATATTTTATTCAGTATTACCTGAAACTACAGGTTGAGCCCATACAGTCATTTAGAAAATATTTACTGAGTTCAAAGAGTGAAGGAAGCAGTGATGTTTTCCAACAGACCTCTTTAGGTTTTTTGCAACCGGCAGAGTTGCACCACCACCTTTGACCCTGTGTACTACATAAAGCAGGATGTTTTTTGGTCTATGACCATTTAAAGTATTATTGTATTATCATTGAGTATTAATCAGGTGTCAGTCTGTCATCGGTTAGCCAACTGCAGCTGGTCTAAAACGCTGCAGCACAGTTACTACGTCAGTTTTTGAATTGTCTTTAAGATTTTATTGTTTGTTTTTAAGGCATTGCAGGAATTAGCACCTTCATACCTTTTCTGATCTTTTGAACCAGTACACTTCTTCAAAGTCACTGAGGTCTGCAGAACAAACTCCTGGCTTTCCCGAGGTCCAGATTAAAGCACAGAGGCGATCAGGCCTTGGTGCGACTGCTCCTAAACTGTGGAACAAACTGCCTCTTCACATCAGGACCTCCCCAACTTTAGACACTTTCAAAACCTGATTGACAACCCACTTTTATTCCTTGGCTTTTAAATCAGAATGAGATCAGACTACTTCTATTTGTGTTGCTTCTTACTCAAATGTTCCTATTTTATGCTTCTTTTCTTAAATGTTGTCATGTCTTCCTGTGTTTTTATCTCTTA